CATTGTCCGTGATTGCCATCATGGCATATAGTGGGCACCTTGCATGTCCCGTGCGGTGATGGCAGAAAAAATGTGTGGTCTGGAACATGCTTGTTCTTCGTCGTCATCAGTGTCAGCATGATTATCAGTGGTGGCTACAGCAAACAAAAATGCCAACACCAACAGACAAGCCTCGGCCTTAAGCAGCTTCGCCCCTAAAATTCAGGAAAAGTATGTTTTTACATATCCGCTCTACCCCCGCCACCCTAACAAGCTTCTATTGGTATATAACACTGAAGCCTCTGCTTCAAGCAACGGATGTGTGCTTTGAGTTTTGAAGCTGTGAAATGCTGTATGTAGCTCCGTCTGTTTGGCAAGTCACTTCTACTGTATAAACCGGAATATAGATCCCGATATTTTCAATAGAACAATGAGCTAATGTCGCCCCTCGTCTTATATAGAGCTGTGTAGCAGACAGCGCACCGCTGTCTGGCAACATGTGGCTTGCATGTGCATGAGAAGTTGGGCACGGCCATATCCGCATTCAAATCCCATAGCAGGTTTTTTTTTTTTTTCTCTCGTCTGTTTTTTTTGCGTGCATGATTTGCTTCCGATCTGTTCTAAGTTCTCGCTTCGCTTGACGTTGTGTTTATTTGTAGTGGTCTTTTATTCATTCACTGAATATAAGTAGCGGTACAAGAAGGCAGTACTCAGCTGCGTTTAAACTAGAGGTTGTTGAGTTCGCAGAAGTGAATGGGAATATTGCTGCTCAGCGCCGCTTTGGTGTATCGGAAAAAAGCGTGCGCTATTGAAGGGTGCAGAAAGGGAAGCGGCAGATGTGCGATCCTCGGAAAATGTCATTTCGTGGGTGAAGTGCGGTTCATCTGCAGCAGGAGAATACGGTAGGAAACTTTGTGTGGAAAGTACATGCGTGCTCGCTGCAAGTGACCGTGGATACCATTCGCAAGAAAGTTGTGGAACTCGCTCGAGAAGCTGGGCTCACGAGAGAAGAGTTTCGTGCACCAAACTCTTGGGTGCGTTGATTCATGAGACGCAAAAGATTTTCTTTCTGGTAGCACACATCAATCTGTCTGAGTATGAGGACAAGCTTACAAACTTTCAGGGCTTCGTGAACTGGCTTCGGGAGCAGAACAACTACATGATGGGGCAGATTGACAATGCCGATGAGACCCCCGTGTGGTTTGACATGCCTTCATCAACCATGATCATGCAGCATGGCGCCAAGGATATGAAGCTGTTGTCCACTGGCAACGAGCACTTGTGCTTCACTGTCATGCCGTCATGCATGGCAGATGGTAGAAAGCTTCCGCCCTTCATCATTTTCAAATGTAGGACAATGCCAAAGGAAGTGTTCCCGCCCAGTGTTGTCGTTCGCGTCAACAAAAAGGAATACATGAACGAGGCCATGATGCTCGAATAAATACGAGTAGTCTGGAACCGTCAGCACAGTGCACTGCTGCATCTTTGCAGCATGCTGGTGTTAGGTGCGTTTTGTGGTCACTTAACTGACGCTGTGAAGTGCGCACTGGGCGATGGAAAAACGAACCTCGCCGTGATACCAGGTGGTATGACGTCCCCCCTCCAACCAATCGACGTTGTGCTAAACAAGCCGTTCAAGGACCGAGTGCGGCTGGAGTACCAAATGTGGATGTCCGGTGACAACCCAAAGACACTGACAGGCCGTCTAAGGAGGCCTCCGCTTGTGACTGTTTGTGGCTGGGTGCTTTCCGCCTGGCATTCCTTGCCAGATTCCATGATGGAAAATGCTTTTAAAAAATGTTCCATGAGCAACTTGCTGTATGGCACGGAAGACAACGCACTGTGGGACGCCAGCAACAAACTCTCTTCTTCAGAAGACGGCGATGCTTCGTCTGACGAATAGGAGCAGTTGCAATGGTAGTTGAGGGGAGCTCCGACGATCGGGGTGTGGTGCGCCCAATTTGTAAATAAATGTCGTTCGGCAAACTTGGGTTGTCTTGTTTTTTTTTTTTTCGGTAACCTGAACTTGGGGTGTCGACCTATATTCCCACTCGACCTATAGTATGGTTTACACAGTACATTTTCGGTCATCTCAGTGCCTGCACAAAAGAAGACGGCAAGCACTTGGCTCATCGAGCTTCTGTATTACTGGCATGCAACGAGGAAAAGGCGGCCAGTGTGCTCACCTTCTTTAACAGCGTCATTATCTATGACAGCTGTGTCAAAAGAGCTCATGCACTGAGTCGATGCAGCCTCCAAAGTCAGCTGCTCAGCTGACGGTTCCCGGCAAAGCTTCATAGGCGGGCGAGCTCTCGACCTTTATGTACTAGATAAGTATGCTGGGAGGCCGTAGAAAATCTTCGGCACAGCGTCCGGCGAAAATTTCGGAACATTGGGCAGTGTCTTCACAACAACTCTTCTGATTAGCCACTAGTTAGTGCGAAAGATCCCACTCTCATCGAAGTGCTTTTCATCCACACGCACCTTCCGAGGATCAAATGTGAAACCACCAGTGCCTTGTCGCGGAAAAGCGCACTTCCACTTTTCTCGCCATTCGCTGTCTAGGCAGCCAGAACATAAGACACTTTTTCATCATTTGCCTTGTAACCGGATCGACACTCATACACACTACATGTACATGGCACCCTTTTCGATCTTCAGACGCAACGTGCACAGCACCAAACATACGATGAAAAACACGCGGTGACATAACACAGTATGCAGCCGTCATTTTCCCGATGTTTCCTGCGAGGACGCAGCGCCGCCTCATGGCCTACACTTGCAGCGCACAAAGCTCTCCCATAGAGTCACGCAAAAGCTTCATGCCCAGTGAAAGTATCGAAGGACTGTGCTAATACGTCCTAAAACCAATTTTCTTTTTAGCGTCCCTTCAAGGACTTGTTAGATAAAATCGAGAACAAATGAACCAGGCATGTGGAACAAAGGTAAGATAACTGATAGACCTTACAAGAAAATGCGAGTTGAGAAATGGAAGTGTTTTTCCCCGAAAATACATATTTCATGCTTACTTGCTTTCATATGTCGAGTTTCTCTGTTTCAACAACAACAAAAATACAGAAGATCGTAATTGAATTCAAAGCATGTTAAAATTGATTTTAAAGAGCACAAAGTGGCTACTAAAGAACTAAAAAGTGCTCAGTGCCTAGAGTATTCTGGAAATTGTCACCTCATTGCTTGCCATTGCATTTACTAAAGACACATGCTCAAAATAAGCATGATTGCGAAGCTCTCATGATAGAAGACATATTCTTAAAAACCATATTTTTGCCACATAGATAAGCTTTGACTTATACCTTGAAACTGTGTTCTTCTCAAGATCCCTTTTTGAGCAACTTCTTGAGTTTAGACATCATGTTGTTTGTACTTCTGGTAGCTAGATTAGGATAAAATTTTGTCCACATATTCCTTAACATACGAAGTGTGGAAGTATGTCATTTAAAGTTTTATATTGCCTGCATAATTACTATGAACCCAAAGTAAACAATTAGTACCGAATGATAACTCTGATATTTACAATTTTTCTTGTCCATTAAAATGTCTTGTAGGCACTTTCTTGATAGTTATTTGAATTGTACAATTAATGTGGAGCAACTTGAGCCATTAATGGTTTAGATTCATAAAAGTTCAGCGGCATAAAAAGTTTGTCCAAAACAAACCATACTTTTACATTGTCATGGCACAAAACAAAAGCTGTGCAACTTACTATAACAGATTACACATTTGAAATTAGCATAGCAGCCTATATAGACAGCAAAAATTTCATTACCTTGGGCTACAATATGATTGAAACTTTTTTTCCCATTCCCATCTCCTCTCAAGAGCGACAGACTGGATTCCAAGAGAAGCCCAGTGCACGTAGGGTACGTAGAAAGTTAATGGGCAGTTGACGAAGTTTATGGAAGTTACTTAGCCCAGAACCAGGTTGAGTGGCAAAACAGAGGGGAGGCTTTTGCTTTGTAGTGGGCGTGGTCAGGTTTATGATGATAATCTAAGAGGTTTCTTTTGGAATCATCAGACGGCACACTATCACAAAAAAAGACAAGTCAAGTTTTTTATGTTCTGACCCAAGAACGATCAAGTTTCCATCGCAGTCGAAAGTTCAGCATGGTCATTAAACTATTCTTTGTGCATTGTTTAAGATACCTACATTATGTGATCATCCACAGCAGTGGGACTCAAAGCGGGGTTTAATAAAAAAAGAAAGGTATGTTCCGTAAGGACAAAAGGGAGGGCTGAGTTGCCTGTACGAGGGAATACTAGGCTTGTGCAAATAGTGAATTTTAGGTTCGAAGCGAATAGTGATTTTGGTCGAATAATTTCAGATCGAATTGAAATAGTATATATGTTGCATATGATAAAGAAAAATGGGCAATGGGCATATTTGTCATGGACTAACCGACCTGCAAAATATTTTTAAGCATTTGAAACAAGGCCTGGTCAAGTGCCACTTTTTAGCATCAAATAATGTGCAAACAAGTTTAAATAGTAGCAAGATTTGACTTTTGGTAAAATGAAAGTGATAGCCTGAAAAATATGTTGCTTTTTAAAATTTTCCATACTTATGGCATATAAGTCAGTATTACAAGCTTTTAAACTTAAAGAATGAATTGATGTGACGGTAATCTCCTCATTTAACTTTCCTTGAATAGAAAGTTCATGGCAATAAAAAGTTCACCTGGATATGTGTGTTTTCACGGCTTAGCGCCATTTTACTGCTGTGAAACCACTTTTACGGGGGGTAACATGCGCACTAATATACACCTAAGAAGGTGCTTTCACGAATTAGCTGCACCTCACTGAAGCAAAACCACCTTTACAGGATGTCATTAGTGGATTAGTGTGCATTTATTTGTTCGCTTCGAATACTGCGTTATTAGTCTGAATATTCACACAAGCCTAGTAAATACAAAACTAACAGAAGTCTGCTACAGAAACAGTGTGGTAAACTATCGCCCCATAAAGTCCTCCACATCAGAAGTGACAAAAACAGCAGTTCTTACCTGTCATTGGGCACCACCACAGGCTCCCTTGCTGCGTCCTCCAGGTCCCTCTTGACTTGAGCTTGCTTCAGCCTGCACAGGGGAGCCTTCATTGTGCACCACTCCATTGGTGCTCTACAAATTAAAGAGTACACTGTTATTTATCTCATGTCCCCACTATATTATGCAGAGTAGAATTTTACAGTGTGCTACTAAGGCCTCCATTCACAAACCAACCTTACCTTATAGCTAGGGGTGTGCGAATATTCAACATTTGAAATATCTTTATTATACTGCTTACTCTCCAATTGGATTTGCTCTGGAATTTTACTATTCAAAATATTCAATCTTCCAGAGCACAGATAAAGCTCACGTTCAATTGACAATGACTCCTTCAAATTTTCAATATGCCCCACCTCACTACGCTCTTGTAATGCAGTAGAGCTGCCTTTCAAGTTCTGATCCAGTTGCAAATGCATCAGCTTAAGGAAACACTGGTTCCAGCATGCACACGATACATGTGACAGAGGCGAGAAGGCTAAACAAATGCTATTTTGTACCTAAAACTTTTAGCCTTTAAAATTTCTTATACAAGGGGCCCTGGCTATCTTTCTTTAGCCAGAGTTATGCTGACTGAAATATGATGACACACACAATCATGATGCGACCAAATGCATGTTGCTGACCATTGCCTAGAGTTTGTCAGACAATTTTTTTGTTTTAAAATATTGCTTAATTAGATCTGTTTAGTTAACTAACTTCTGAAGGAAGGAAGAAGAATAGAAAACTTCAATGAGAAAATTATAGATCCATTTGCATAATGTCTGACTAGAAGTTTCGAACATTACTATATCTATTATTTATTAGTGCTTTTGTGCTAACTATAAATGCCCACGAAATACAAAAAGATACCATGTGACAAACCCACTGGCACGCCTATGCGAGTCGTGATTCCGGTGCTCTCTAACGTTTCGCGTACGAATGATACACTTCCCTCGCACCGGTTCATGACAGCGAAAACCAGTCACAGCGGTTATCACTTTTGTGGCCGATAGCAAAACGTGTTCATCGCAAAGCCACCATTATCGTTGCGGCCCTGTCAAGAGCACAATCGGGCAAATGTTATGGTCATTTGTACGCCGAACATTAGGGAGCCCTAGAATTATCGTGCACACTGGCGCACAAGTGGGTTTGTTACGCGATACTTCTTTGTATTTCGTGGTCATTTGTAGTTAGTAAAAAAACACTAATAACTAACAGATATAAAGTTCAAAACTGTCTAATCAGACATTATGCAAATGGATCCACAACTTTCTCATTGAAAACTTTTATCCGTATTTGTTCCTTCAAAAATTAGTTTTTTAAACAGATCTAATTAAACAATATTTTAGAACACAAAAGATAGTCTGACTAACTCCAGGCAACGGTCAGCAACATGCATTTGGTCGCCTCGTAATTGCGTGTGTCGGCATATTTTTAAACTCTGGCTAAAAATAGCTGGGGCACCCTGTATATCAAGGTCTACAAGGCAGATTTAGAACTCCTGCCTCAAAGAGAGCACGCCTTTGTCCACCACTTCAGTTGGGCTTCCACAGAAGTTGAAAGAGTTGGTGAGGCTGGGGAAATGGCATATTTGTCTTTCTCGTGTAAAGTGTTGTTGGCAACACAATTTTTTTTGCAACAACTAATGTACATAAATACGTTTCAGCCACTGCACTGCCTTATTCTTGGTAAGACTACGAAACAACCCACTGCCAGCACATCAGAAAATAAACTTTCATGTTGCTATCTCATAAGAATATTGCAATTCACAATAACCATTTATTACTCCCCCTTTCCCCCATCCCATATGCAAGGTAGCTAACCAAGCCTAGCTGAGTTAAAACCCCCCTGCCTTTCTTTTTAACACAAAAGTATTTTACGCCAAGGTCCACCATGGCTCCACTGACGTACTTCCGTCATGAATTTGACATTGTAAAATAAATCCTAATAGTTTGCAAAAAAAAAATGAGAAGAAAAACTGCTGTTTCAGGGCGTCGAACCAGCGACCTTTCAATTAGCAGTGCGCGGCGCTAACCACTAGGCCATAGAGCGTACGTTGCCAAGCATGCTAATGGCAAGCCATCTATCAACACCATGGACAGTCCTCACAGCTTAGCAACTTCACGTTTTTGTGATCAGTAGAGAGATGGTGCGAGAAGTGCGCATTGGGCCCACTTGCTCAAAAGGTCATCACCCCACGCAACCCCGCTCGTTTCTATCCACACGCACCTCCACATGGAGTGGTCGCTCACTAGAGCATATGCTTATCTCTAGGTTTGGCGCTTTGTACCCTTGTCTTTCTACTGCAAGTTTTCTTCGAAGTTGCAGTGGTTAAAGGAAACACGAAGATCGCTTTGCTCGCTGCTGCGGCCGCATTTACGGAGAGAGCATGCTACTCACACACGAAGACACAAAAATTGTGACAGGCTATGCTTGTCATGTGTATACTTTTGCATTCGTTTCGTGCATAATATTTTCTGTTTGTGCAGCGTACTTTAGGTGTTGAGCTACGACAGCTGGTTGTCTGCTCTTGTCCTGTGTGTGCTCATTTTATGCGTGCTTTCTGCTTGAGATGCGCGTGGCAAGTTTCGAGTTGTTTGTTATTCTTCATTGCTGCAGCATTCATTCCTTTGCCCTTGCGGTGAAACAATGCACAATAAACTCTCGACTACCTTTGTGAAAACACGTTTCATTTTCGTGTTATACCGATCCCTAAAAAAAGAGATCAGCCACGTTTTTTGTTTCTCTCTCTTTCTCATTGCCTTACATGCCGAGAAGGTGCGTGCTGACACCGCCCTTGTTTGTTTTGCTATTGGGCTGATCTCTCGAAGAGCACATAAAGCTGTACGCATAGCTTGAACCCCGTGTTTGCCATGCCTCATTATCCCTCCTCCAGAAACGCATCATCCCGATGCGTCTGGCAGAAATGTTGGAGACAAGTTCTGATGCCTGATCTTCGTTGGAGGGAGTATTGGTAGTACTAATTGGAGGAGCGTAGTGGCACAAGGTTCACTAATTGTCAAAGAATGGGTTCATCCTCACCACATGCACAGTTTCTGTGCAACTCCGGCACCTGGATGAGTTCACTTGTCCTTCCAGTATAACCTCGTATTTCAAAGGGCCCATTCGATACAGAACTCTGTACGGGCCGGAATAACGACCCAAAAGCTTTTCGTAGGGGCCAGGCGTCCATATGGAAGTCCATATCCAAACTCTCCCCCTTCTCTCCGCTGCAGGTTTTATCAGTTAGCATCAAAGCGTTGTTATTGCTTAATGCGATGTCGAGCCAACTACCATGCTTCTTTGACTCTCTGAGCGAACTCTCTGACATCAGGCTTGTGCTCTTGATTGCCACTTATAGGCAGCATTGCATCTAAGGGCATGGTAACTGTCGGGGTCTCCTGCAAACCAGTATTGTAAGTCAACGTGGTATATGGCAGTATCTTGTCCCATGTATGGTGCTCGAAGATGACGTACTATGTGGACAACATATCAGTCAGCGTCCTATTGAGTTGCTCGGTTAACTCATTTGTTTGAGGATGATAGGCGGCTGCTTTTCTGTGGGATGCATGAGCAAGTCTCACACTAGCAGACTGCATCAAATTGGCCGTGAATGCAGTTCCTCGATCCATGATAACAACTTAAGGGACACCGTGTAATAGCACTACGTTTATAACAAAAAAATTCAGCTGCTTCAATGGCAGTTTCTCAGACCAGAGCAGCTGTCTCGGCATATCGTGTGAGATAATCTGTTACTATTATCATCCATCACTTGCCGAAGAATGATGTCTCAAATTGGCCAAGCAAGTCCATTCCTACTAGTTAAAATGCTGCTTCGGGGCACTCTATCAGTTGAAGGAGGCCTGGTGATTTTAATAGTAGCGTTTTGTGTCTTTGGCATTCTTGACAAGTTCTCGCAGATGTGACTGAGGAGTGGGGGGCACAGGTAGCCACCCAGGTGCCCGGGAAGAACACTTACGAGGCTTCTTGATGACAAAAACACATGATTTATTTACATATTTACAGCAGTCCAACCCTCCAGGCGTGAAGACGCGCCTTTACACGAGACATGACAGGCCGAAACAAAGGCCAGAGAGAGAGCCCCAAGCGAACACGCGACGTACTCTTCATACCCTGGGTCCTTGCACATGCTTCTCGTTACACGCCGACTGCATCTCACAGCGTTCGTGTGCGACGCAGACCGCATATCACTGGCACGCCGTTGCGCGTTCCTTGCAGCGCACTTTGGAGAGTTTCCGCTGTCTTGTGGGACGCAGACAGTGTTCTTGTCGATGCGGACCACGCAAGAGAAGTCAGCTGATGGGCATCTCTTGCTGGCTGGATCCTTGCATTGAGGGTCATAACAGCCCATCCACCACCCGAAGAGGTCACGTAAGGGCTGCAGTAGCACTGCTGCCTGAAGTGGCCATTGTACGCCACCACTAGCACTTCACTCATTGTTCTCCACAGCACAGAGACTCACACCACACAGCTGATCTTTAGCTTTGCACACCTTGGCATTGCTACCATCCACTACACAACACACGCATGGTCATAGTTGGCGGTGTCCACAGCTGTAGAGTCCCGGTTGCCGTTGCCCTGTCGACCCTTGGTAGAAGGTGTCACGCAGCGTAGAAAGAAGGCCCCAAAGGCTGGTTCTTTCTAGGCAAGTAGACTTAACTGAGCTTCTTCTCTGTCTGGCTTTAGCGGGGGAGGGCGCACTCAAACAAGACACCAACCCTGAGAGCACTCAGTTCTTCAGAGATCAACCAGGTGTAAGCTACTACAAGGCTTACACCTGGTGTAAGCCTTGTAAGCCTTACGCCTGGAGTAAATGTTTTAACATTTTTGCACAACAGAAGCCTACACCATGATGGTAACCAGTTATTTATCTTGACACTTACGTGATAGCATCCCAAACCCATTTTTTAACAGGCTCAACCGACCCTTCACAAAAACGCTTTTTGGAGCGCGTTCTTTTAGACCCGTGTCTGGAAACCCGCGTTACCCCATTCAGACGCTTCCCGGAATTTCCCTCCATGGTGCAACAAAGACAGGGTTGAAACCAAAAGATTTGTCTCCGCGCGCAGAAAGAAAGAAGGGTCTGCACGACCCACCTCTTGCAAGCGAATGCCTTCTTTTGGCTCAAAATTCAACATACTTATTATCTTTCATTTGATCAGAAAGCCTCCAGGCAAGTTATCATGCGATCGACTGGGAACAAAAAAACGTGGGCGACTGTGATTTTGTCCTGCACTGCAGGCGGTCGCAAGCTACCACCCTATGTGGTGTTCAAACGAAAAACCCTGCCAAAGGGGAGAAGTTCCCAACAAAAAAATGTCGTCATCGGCTGCCAGGACAAGGGGTAGATGGACGAATTGCTAGTGCTTGACTGGATAAAGTCCGTGCGGTGTCGACGGCCCGGAGCACTGCTGGGGCCCCCTTCGATGCTTGTGCTCGACAGGTTTCGGTGTCACCTGATTTACTCCGTAAAGCGAATGCTGCACAACTCCCGCATCGAGCTTGTCGTCATCCCTCATCACAGCTGCAGCCACTTGATATGTGCTTTAATAACCCATTTAGGGATTATGTCAAGCACCTGTACGCAGGGTGGATGAGGTCCTCAGAATCAGAAGTGACCTCTGCCGGTCCGCTGAAATGGGCCTCACCAGCGATGCTGTGCTCGTAGATAGTCGAGGCATGGGCCTGCATTCCCGAGGCGCTCATTTGCTGCACATTCAAAAAGTGCTCCATCTCGAACACGCTTTATGGCACTGAGAATGATGTGCTGTGGGAGAACATTTCCCACAAAGGAGCTTTGGAAGAGGGTGCGTCAGACGACAATGAATGAAGTCTGTTAATAAACGAATTTTTCCATTTTACTTGGGCTATATTCGGGTGAAAATTGTTTTTATAGAGTTTGCTATCTCCAAATTACACTCTGGACTATATGGGGTCTGAGCTATATGTGGGCTTTTACGGTAGTTCTCGTAAAGTCTGCCGGTGTGAAGCGTTAATGTCATTTAGATGTGGTTGGGTAGCATCTTCAAGACCAGCTTACACGTCAAATACTAGAGGCCCTGGAGAAGGCTAGGCTGGATGATGCATGCATGAGCAGGCCTTCAGTTGCCCTATCAAGAAAGGAGGCTGTATTTTTGTCAGGTTGACTCCCCACGAAATGAGCATGTTCTTTATGACTATTGTTCATTTGTTTTCGACTGCCACCTTTGTTTCTTCTTTTTGTTTCAACTGTGCAGCTATATAATGCAGGGTTTAGTGAGTAAACTTTTGTAGCAAGTCAGTGCTCTAGTATGTGTCCTTCCTCACCTGGTCTGTCATCTTCCGAGCTGTTTCCCTCCAATATATCATACCAACATATCCAAGCAATTGCTTTAGCTGCCATCTTCAAATTCAGACAGTGATGTACTCAGTTGAAAGCTGCTCTCGAGATAGTCATCATTATTGCTGCACATACTTCCACAGTCACACTTTTGGTTATTCAAAATGACGTTCTCGCTGAGATGACAAGTTGGATAAAAGGACCACACTTCATTTTAAAACTCATAAAGTTTAGGCCATCTTCCCAGCCACAATTCCTTATCGTACTTCCCGTAACCACACAAAGCTCACGCTGTAGTTGGATGACTGTCTATTTTCGTGTCTAGACTCCTTTGAGAGACCTGGAGGCAGTAGAATACATGATAGAAAAAACAGAAGCAGCCAATACTACATAAAAAACAAAAACAAAATGAAGCTGGGCAGAGCATGTATTGCATACAGCTGATCAGCTAGTGTGATGGTTCGGTTCCAAGCCATAAACATGGAATCTTAAATTACCATAAATACCCGCGTATAGTACGAGGTTTTTTCTAAATATTAGCGTTCCAAATTTTCGCTTTGTACTATGTGCGGATCCAAATGAAAACTTGTTCGAAAAACGAAATTGAGCTTGAAGTTTTGGTTTCGTAACTGCCACTTGGCTACGGCTTTGTTTTGTCTACGAGTGGCTACGGCTTGGCTTTGATATCTTCGCGCCCTCGCGTGGCGAAAGTGAGTGCTAGTGCCATTTCTTTCTTTGTTGTTGAGTTTTTTAGCGCTTGGACAGCGGACGGGCGGACGTGTGAACCTCGCTGTGTTCTGTGCCTCACTTCGCAAAGGTGCAACATGCCAGGGCACCGAAACCAGTACTCGGCTGCATTCAAAAGAAAGGTCACCGCAGCTGCCGAGGAAATCGGCAACAGTGCGGCCGGAAGACAATTCGGAGTCACCACGTGAAGTGTTCGTGGATGGCGACGACAGAAAGAAGTGCTTTTTGTGTGGAGCGGCAAGCGAAAAAGCTTTCGCGGTCCAAAGAAGGGGCCTTCCCAGAGACTAAACAACTCGCACCGACAGAGTTCGTTCGACAGCAGCGGGCGGCGCACTTGCCAGTTAACACGGAGTTGATGCAGATGAAGGCAAGGGAGCTGATGAGAGAAAAGGGGATGTCGAGCTCAAAATTCAAAGCCAGCAAGCACTGGATATACCGTTACATGTGCCGAGCCGGATTTTCCCTGCGCCGGCGAACCTCCATTTCTCAGAAGCTCTCTGAAGTCTTTGAAGAGCTTCTTATCTCATTTTAACACCATGTAATAATATTATTACGTTGCGCCACTCGCAGAACTTCCAGCTGGGACAAATCGGTACACCGACCAAACGCCAGTTTACCTGCACATGCCATCGCCCCGCCCCTTACAGTTCATGAGAAGGGTTCGAAGCAGGTTAGTGTCCGTACCGCCAGCAATGAAAAAACGCGTGTCACAGTGATAATATTGTGCACGGCGGGCGGCCATAAGCTCCTCCCTTATGTCGTCTTCAAGCGCAAGACAATGCCGAAAGGGGAGTAACTACTGAAGAATGTCATCGTGAGATGTCACGATAAAGGCTGGATGAATGAAGACCTTGTTCTAGACTGGGTAAAGTCTGTGTGGTGCAGACGGCTTGGTACCCTGCTCTCTTTTCCATCCATTCTGGTGCTGGACGTGTTTCGCTGCCGCTTAGCCGACTCAGTGAAGAGGCTCCTATGCAACTGTGGCAAAGAACTGGTCGTGATCCCGGGTGGGATGACATCTCAACTGCAACCTCTCGACGTTTGTGTGAATAAGCCATTCAAGGATGGGGTTAAGTGTTGCTACGTCGAGGGGATGTGCTCAGGTGAGCCTGCAGTGACACCGACCGGGCGGCTGCAACGGGCGTCGCCGGCTACCCTATGCAAATGGATCGTGGACGTTTGGGCAAGTATCCCAGAGGACCTTGTGCATCGTTCCTTCAAGAAGTGCGGCATCTCTAATGTCCTCGATGGCACAGAAGACGAGCACCTCTTTGACGATTTGTCTGATAAGGAAATGTCCGAGGAAAGCGCAGTTGAAGACGACAGCGATTGACGTTGCGGATGTGTGCTCAATAAATGTGTTTTTGGTTACCTTTCCTACGTCGTTTTATACGCGGGTACAATATTTTTTTTTCATTTCGCGCCTCTAAAATTTCGCCTCGTATTATATTCGGGTTCGTATTATACGCGGGTATTTACGGTAAGCATAATTTGGAGATGGGCTGTTTTTACAGCAGTGGGGGAAAAAAAAGCACTGACCGCAGCATGCGCTCATTCTCAGCATTGAGCTTGTCGGCGTCTCGCGACTTGAGCGCCATCCAGCGCTTGACGAGGTCCTGGTGATCTCGCTCTAGAGTGCTAAAGTTGCGCTCCAGGCTGTTGTACACCAGCTGCAGGGCTTCGTGCTCATCCTTCAAGAGCTGCACACGAGACAAGCAATCACACTGGAAAAACACCACTTTGCCTCTTTTGTACATGCACGACACTGTGACACTGCGCATTTTAGAGCCTGCATGTTCTGGCCGAGAGAACGTTTTTCGTTCAAGCATTCCCTCCCAATAAATATTGTGACTGAGCTACAGTGATCTGTAGCTCAGTCACAATCTCCCCGACCGGATTGTCTTCATGGATGACGAGAATTTCACCTTTGTTCAAACCAGTTTGGCATTTGTAAAAAATTAGCACTGTTGCTTGAAGGTCCTTGGCAAACTGAGGATGGGAAAAACCCATCTCCCCAAAAGCATCACAGTCTGTGACGAAACTCCAAAACTTGGAAAGAATAAAGCTTGTTTCTGTGTAAATAGGCACAAAACTCAATGCCAAGGTCTACTGCCAGCTGATTCAGGAGGGCATCATGATTGTGAGAGCAGAAGGACATGCAAAAAACATTGACTGGTGGTGGCTAAACAGGGAAGAAAACCTTCCCAGCTTCTGGAGGAAAAATATTTGGCAGTCAAATTTGCCCAATCTCAGGCCTATGGACTTTTTGTTTGGGAGATCTTGGAGCAATAGCCATGCTCTTTCAAGCACATGCAATGAGTCATGCAAGCGTGCCATGAAAGAAATGAACTCCACAACACTTCACATTTGTTTCGAAGACCTCCCAAAAGCGCTTTCACACCTGTATAAAAGCACATGACAAACATTTTAAATCAGAAATTTGAGTTTTTTAATACAATTAGCCACCCTTACTCAGCTATTCGAACTAATAACCGATATTCATGAAGCGATACACAATAAAACAGACATTGATGCTCTATTTATAGACTTCACCAAAGCCTTTGACAAGGTCCGCCATAACCGTCTAAATATGAAACTGAGTGCCCTGAACATCAACCTTAATATCTGTAAATGGATTTCTAATTTCTTGTCCGATCGCAATCAGTCTATTTTTTGTTAATAATACCTTGTCTCCATTAGTAAAGGTAAAATCAGGTGTTCTGCGAGGTACCGTGTTAGGACCAATCCTATTGTTAATTTAAGTTATTCATATAAGTAACCAATTGTCGTCACCAATCAGACTTTTTGCAGACGATTGTGTAATTAACTGACAAATTACTAACCCTATCGATGTGAGTGCGCTGCAGTCCGACATTAATCAAATCACCCACTGGTGCTATCGATGGCCCATAGAAATTTATGTTTCAAAAACAAAGTACATTCAATTTACATGAACTACAAAACCTAGGCTAATCGAAAATGTGACCACAATAAAATACTTAGGAGTTCATGTTGCACACAACCTCTCATGGAAAGCTCATGTTGAGGCAACAACGAGTAAGTCTTCAAGAGCTCTAGGATTCAATAAACGTAATTCGCACTCTGCTAACCAGTCCACCAAACTTCTCGCATACATAACATTAGTTCACTCGAAAATGGCATACGCCGCCCTTATTTGGAATCCTAACCAGCAATACCTTATTCATAAACTTGAGGCTTTTCAAAACAAAGCAGCCCGCTTTATCACAGGAAAATATTCCTGGGTATATAGCACAACAGCTATTAAAACATTTTTAGAATTACCTACTCTAGAAAAGCGCAGGCTTATCGCACTGCTTGTCTCATTTCCACACGCTTTATTTCAGTGAGTGATGCTCCTTACATTCACAGATTTAACCAGCTTATCCTATTTTTCCACGTGTGGATCTTGCTTACAAAATACAACCCATGTTTGCCCGTACTAACTTCCTTCATGACTCACCACTGTTTCTTGCGATTTATCATTGGAATAAACTACCAAGCGATGTTGTAACTGTGCGTGATCATGACACGTCTGTTAGCAAATTAAAGCAGATGTAGAATGTAGAACTGTAACATTTTGTAGCTTTTTTTTTTGTTTAGTCTAGTGCCAGTATTGCATCAGTTATCGCATACCTCGCTTCATGCCTTACTGAGTGCTGCATTGCAATACTGTTTCTTTTATGCGACCTTTTGCTTTCTGCATTTATCTTTTTATTTTTCATGTTCTGTGTAATTATTTCTTTTGTGAACATAACCCTGCCGTATTGTATCCCCCCCTGTAATGGCCACATAGGCCCTTAGTGTATATTAACAAATTAATAAGTAAATAAATAAAAAAACCATGCCTCATCTCGTTCATCCATGAAAGACCTATGGTCATTCATTCATGTAACACTATTTCTCGGTCACCCTGTATATCTACCACAGATCATCTTTCTGAGCGAGTTGTTTCATACCCAGCACCTCCACCACTTTGCAAAGGGGTTTAATAGCGACACCAGGTAATAGGCAGACAGCCGGTATAGAAACAAATGCTCGGGCAGTCCAGCGTCTACAGCTCGTGCAACCGCTCGCGCTTCGCACTAAGCGATGGTCCCACTAGTCATTGCCTTGCGAATTCCCCACTACACATAGTTAAATGTAATGTAATGTAAAAGTGCAAATAAACGACCAGGGAAGCGCCAACTAATAACGGTGCTTAATAACGAGAAGAGCCCACTTTGAATGTCCAAGTGAATCATGAAAAATACACAAGCATGGCACAAAACAAGACAAATAAGATGAAAAAGAAAAACAGTCATCGAAAGGTCTGGCACAAGAAATAGTGATCTCCTGCCATTTAGAAACCAGATAACCACTTTCAGAAGATGCATGAGACAAGAAAGCGCCACTTGTTGCCAAATGCCTGAAGGGGAGATGCGAGTTAAAAAACACAAGTTGTTTTTTAAAATTACATATTTCATTTTACATGCTTTCGCAAGTTTAGTTTTTCTACTGTCATGACAAAAAAGAAGCTGAAGATTGTAATTAAACTCAAAGGTTAAAATCGTTTTCCAAAGAGCGCATGGGGCGTACTAAAAAAACTATAAAGTGCTGATTGTCTACTCTGGAAACGGTCACCTGGCTGCTTGCCATTGCATCTCACATAAGGGTTTACCAAAGCCACATGCTCAAAATAACCATGATTTCTAAGCTCTCATGTAGGAAAAAATCATGTTGAAAGACGTCTTTCCCGCATAGATGAGCTTTCACCTATACGTTTAAAAAGCATTTTTCTCAAGATACATTTTTGGTAAACTTCTCGAGATTAAACGTCCTGTTCTTGGTACTCCTGATAGCCACATCAAGATGAAATTATGTCCAGATATTCCGCAACATGTGAAGGCTGCAAGTGTCTCCTTTAAACCTTGATATCGCCTGTATAATTATTACGAACATAGGGTAAGCAGTTAGTATGAACTGAGGATTCTGAGAAATGTCATATTCCAATTTTACTTGTCCATTAAAATGTCTTATACACACTTTCTTGATAGTTATTTGCATTACACAGCAAATGCGAAGCTATATGAAGCATTCATGGCTCAGAACCATCAAGGTTTAATGGCACAGAAAGTTTGTTCGAAAGTTACTATATTTTTATTTATTTTATTTATTTGATACTGTCAACCCAGTGTTCGAGGTCATTACAGAGAGGGTGTCACATAAATACATATCACCCGAACAAAAAAAGAAGAGAAAAGAAAACATCCCATAGCACATGGGAATAACATAAATAACCAGCATAAGAAAATAAGAAACAAACTACAGTCATTATACAAACTACCGTCATTATGCAAGCAAAAATCCACTAATAAATGCTCGTGCGGGGAATCAAAGAGCATCACTACAGAAAAAAACGGTCCAATACATCTTCAAAATCGGCTGATGTTGCATGTTGAACAACAGCACTTGGTGAACTATTCCACATTTCTATTGCGTAAGGGGAGAAGGTGTGTCGGAAAGCATTTGTGGGTGTGAAATAGGGCCGAACAGAGCTAGTGTTATGAAGACGACCACATAGCCTTCCAGGAGGCTCAAGATATAAGTCCTTGTTTATTTTTGTACGCCCGTTTCAAACCTTAAAAAGAAACTTGAGGTGATGTTTGCACCTGCAAAACTACAAAGACTGAAGCTCACGGGATTTTAACAAAGCTGTGATAGAATATGTGCGTCGGTATTCACAGCATATGAAACGGACCGCTAATTTTTGAATTTTTTCAATTTCAGCTCTCAAGACTAAAGTAAGGTGAGCACACAATACCAGCAAACTCTAAGACTGGTCGTATGAATGTCTTCTAAGCTGTTAGCTTTACAAATTGTCATGGCCTAAAACAAAAAGTGTGCAATTTACAATAAAACTACATATTTGTAATCAGCATAAAAGCCTACAAATTCAGGAAAAATTTCACTTCCCTGGGATTTCAATTGTGGGGGTGCTAACACCCCCTGTAAAGTAATTCGTGCCTCATGGAGCACACATGTTTTGTGCAGAGGCCGCATTTAGGGTAACAACCATCGCGCAGTAAATTATATTGTGCTTGCGAGTGTTTATCACCATCATCATCATTATGGTTAGTGCGATAGCACCAGAAGTGATGCCTGGTGGCGAGGCTGGCTAGCGGCATTTTTGGGCTGTGGCACCTGGGGTTGATAGTTGTCTCCTGACGGGGTCCAATGATGTGCTGCGACCGCGGGCCATACTGCGTGGCTTCCTAGCAGTGAGACGAGCATCGGCAATGCACCACCTACGCGTTACCTTGTTTGTAGTTAAACTGATTGAGTGTATTGTAAAATTGTATAAGTTTGTTTAGCGTGTTGATCACTTGTGATGTATTTGATTCAGCTGACGATATCATCAATACAAAAGTAAAATAAATGTGGTGTTTGGTTTGGTCCGACCGCGTCTGCTGTCTCCGTTCATTCCAAGGCATGTGCTTCCTTTATAGAACCCACAAGATTAACACAACTTTCCAAATTGCATCTCCCCTCAACATGTTTGCTTTCTAAACTGGTACGCGGGGTCTTTGCTTTTGCCCAGAACGATCGTCCCTTTTGAATCTGGCTACGGAAGCTGTGTACAACTAAGCGTGCATTCAGCTAATCAAGTTTTTCTATTTTCTGAGCATGTTCTTGTAAACAGACAGAGATACAATGCCCAGTTTCTGCAACATGAGACATTCCCCAAAACCACTCAAATGAAGCATCTCACAAATGATGCTTCGCGATTCTTCTAGCTTCCAGATTTACTGGAGTTGCAAATATGTGGGCACCACTTTTGAATCTTATTGAGGGAAGAGAAAACAACTGCTGCGCTGTGTTTACTTTATAATAATTGAGGCAAAGTTTGTGGATGTAGGGTATGATGTCAGACATTTGAAACCTTCCAGAGAAAATCAGCCATTGTTCTCCCAATTCCATATTTAAAATTTTTAAGGAGGTTTAAGGAGGGTTTTGGAAATGGCAGTTGAGACAGAACAGCCAAAAGATCTCGCATTTGATGCGAGCACAATTTTGGGAGGGCAGATTGCTCTCTTGAATGTCTTGTGCAGCTCGGCTGCTGACCCGCAGGTCGCGGGTTCGATTCCCGGCTGCGGCGGCTGCATTTCCGATGGAGGCGGAAATGTTGTAGGCCCGTGTACTCAGATTTGGGTGCACGTTAAAGAACCCCAGGTGGTCAAAATTTCCGGAGTCCTCCACTACGGCGTCTCTCATAATCAAATGGTGGTTTTGGGACGTTAAACCCCACATATCAATCAATGTCTTGTGCAGAGCGCCGAGTCACAGGGCAGCAACTCTGTTATTGCTGTTTTTTTGCCATATATACCGTATTTACTCGATTTAATCGCGCCCTCGATTGTAACGCGCATCCGATTTCCACCGCGAAAACAAAAACAAAAACATAAGACATCGATTGCAACGCGCACCCATTTTTCTCGCTGGCCCGCACGATCACACCACTCGAAAAAATGACTCCTTTCGGGAGCGTCTTCCATTTAAATATGAGGTACGGGCGAAGCTTGTGCCGATCAGACGTGTAACAGAGCATTGCCGTCACTGTAGTTTTACCGTGAACCGATGTCAGCACGCAAACTTGCTTCGCCCCCTTCTCGACGGTTGTGGTGCTAGGCATGTCGAAGTAAAGAGGCGTCTGATCGGCATTCCCAATTTGCCCAAGCAGGGAGCCGTTGTTGTGCCGCAAGTTTAGGACGAACCTCTGAAAACTGAAGCTTTTCTTCGTACTCCTCCGGCAACTTTTGGCGTATGCCCGTTAGCCTTCAGATGGAAAAGCCTTTCCCCTTCATAAAGTTAGTTAGCCAGCACCTGCTCGCTTTAAACTGGCTCCGCATTAGACCTTTTTCTAAGACTAATTGCATAGCCCGCACTTGGAGCAGTTCTGTCACGGGCCGCTGTGCCGCTCGTTGCTCAAGCACATACTCGCCGAGCAGCTCTTTAATTTGCGGAAACCGACCCTGCTGTGGTCCACTGAAGCCTTTGCGTGAAGCTTTGCTGTCGACAATTTTCTGCTTTTGTTTCCGCCGGTCCCGCATGCACGTTTCGGGAACTCCGAACGACCGCGATGCGGCCCGATTTCCGTCCGTTTCTGCACACGCGATGACTTTTCTTTTAAAAGCGGCATCGTGATGCACTCGAGTTTTTGGAGTTGGCCCTTCCACGCCGTCGACGCTAATGCACTACTAGATGACGAACTCCTCAGCACACGTACGAAGTGCCGCACATGGGAAACACATAGGCAGAAATGGCCGACGCGCCATGCCGACGCACGTAGTGGGCGGCCATTTTGGATTTGCCGATGGCAATAGATTGACCGTAATTTTTTTGTTCGTACTCGATTCTAACGCGCATGCGATTTATGAACTCGCTTAACTGGAAAAAAGGTGCGCGTTAGATTCGAGTAATTACGGTAACAAATCTTAAGATCTAAAATCTGCAAAATTGGAAAATCGCGCAGTTTATGTGTAACATGCAACACAAGTACAATTGCAACACTTGGTAAAATTAGCCAGACTTGGCCTACTGTAGGAAAGTAGGTGAAGGCAGACCACTTTTGTAGGAGTACTAGGAAATCGTCAATGAACCTGAAAATTTTAGAAACGCCCACCTCCCACCAATAAAATTTGCACACCTGATTGGCATCCTTCATGTCCTGCAGCTCCTTTGCAGTGGCACTAAGCTTTTCCTTTAACAGGTCCAACTCGGCTTCGCATTCCTGGATCCTGCACGTTTAAAGAGGCAGAGAAAAGACAAACAGTCTGTGTATGTCTCAACCTACACAAATGGCTTTCTTTTTCTCTTTAACTTTTTCAGCTGTTAGTGGTTCAGAAATTATAAGTGAGTGCTGCATAACAATCAATTTTCGAGAAATTATCAGTGTCCATAATCGCTTTCCAAAGTGGGCCAATGTTTTTTTTTTTTTTATATGAGGCACCCCCATTCATTGTTGACGGAGAGTGGGAAGGGACAGGAGTTGATCCCCCTGTTCCCCCCGCCTCGCCCAATGGTCACTGCCAAGCTTTAAATAAAGTTTATTCATTCATTCTAGTCCTTTAGAAAGATTTCTTTCAAGTTGCCTGTAGTGCCCATCTTTCTTGCTGGTGATTTAAACTTTTACATACACAGTGGCCAGAGCCATACTGTCCTCAAATAAATCATCTACAGTTTTAGAATGTTTCCTTGGATTTCAATCTATTTTATAACTTGACAAGACAAAAGACAAAGTTAGATTTGCCATGCCACTGCCGTCTCGATCTCTCGGTTCTTTCATGTGCAAGCACTCCTAAGGTATAATAGAGTTGTATGGCATCAACTCCGTGAAATAATGCTTTGCTTAGGGAAAAAAAAAACTGTGCTAGTGGTCACAAAAGCATTTATTGTGACCACTGGCACCCACTTTACTGCTAAAAGCAAGAAGCAGACATGAGTCGTACACCATAAAAACAAGATTACATTTCTTTCAAGGATATTCAATTTGGGCTCATGAAAAAAAGGGGGCCTATGACTTTTGTGCATCTAACAAGCACGGTTGCACATGGCACACTGGTCGAATAGCTGGACCACACAGAATGTGGGAAGAACATGCAACCATGCTTTAACAAAGGAGCAATTGGCTATTTTATCACAGGACTATTAGCAAAGTACAGGCATGAGGACCCAATAGGATGAAGACAAGAAGGTGCAACACAATGCATCCAGAGGTGCAGATCATTCTAAATGCATGCTTCACCCACCACCTTCCTTGTAACAACTCTACACAAACAGTACATGGCAATTGACTAGGTTCGTGCAAATAGTGATCCCGGTCCAATAATCTTTATTCGAATTCGAATTGTATATATATCGCATATTATAAAGAAAAATAGGCATACTTATCATGAAGTAGCTTGCACAATGTTTTTTAAGCATTGTAACAAAGCTTGTGCAATGCTTTTTTTTTTTCATCAAAGAAAACGGAAACAACTTTGCACAGTAGCACTATTTAACTTTCAGTAGAATCCAAGTGGTAGCCTGTAAAATATGTTATTTTTTAAAATTTGCTATAACTGAAGCATATACGTCGGTGTAACAAGCTTTTAAACTTTAAAAAAAGTGAAACAATGCGAAGGTAACATCCTCATTTAACTTTGAAGTGAGGCTTCGCGGCAGTTTAGATTTCATCTGGATACTTGTTTTCATGGCCTAGCACCACCTCACCACAGTGAAGCCACCCTTACAAGGTGTCACATGTGGGTTAATATGCACCTATTCGTTCGTTACGAATAATACAAAATTTTCAATCATTTAAATTTGATTGAAGGTAAATTCAAATACCACATTATTTGAATATTCAAATCATTTGAATATTCGCACAGGCCTACAATGACACTTTGCAAGAACATATAGGATTACTTTCCTGTAAGAATACTTTACGAGTGACTGGTTTTCCTGCTCTAATAGCATTCACTCCTCTTAGGAATCACTGCTTGCCATTCTTCACTTTGTCATAAATTTAAGCAAATAATAGCGTAACGCAAAAGTTCTCAAACTTTCGAGCCTCGGGAGCTGCAAGCCCCTTTTAAGTGAGCCACGAAACCCAAACCCATGACCTTTTCTTGAGCATAAAGCAATGTAAGCAGGGAAGGTGGGGAGAGGAGAGATGATACCACGTCTCAACCTGTGCAACCACGACATTAACACAGCCCACACTGGCCTGTTCTCTTTCCTTTAGTACTGAAAGTGATCACTGTTGATGAGGAATTCCTGATAATACACAGACTTGTGATACCCTCCCAAACTGCTCCGTAAGTCACAAAAGTTCCGCAAGAACAGAGTCCTGTTTTGATTTTTGCAAAACAATAAAAAAAGCCTGTTAGTCGTACAGCAAAACAGCCATCGATCTATACACGGGTTGTAAATATAAGCCACAATGCATGTGTAGCCCACAGCAAGCATGCATACCAAAATGCTTGCTGCATCTCTCAATTACAAAACCAACATAGAGCAATAGAACATAAGTGTGCATAGAAACTGCCACGAGCCAAGATGAAGTGCCCATCAATGTCGTCTGAACTCATGCACATGAATTACCAGTGCTTCGTGTGTTCTGTCACCACTGATACACAAATCGTGCCATGGCGCGCACTAGACCTTTAGTGCTGCAACCACATGGGCCTGTCACTACTCGCAAACAGCCGATGTGGCATGGGACAGCTTTGTTAAGTAAAAATAGCAATGCGAATTCGCTTTTGCAGTCGAATCCCGCAATGATGACGCCGGGGTGTGGGAAAAAATTTGTTGTAGTGAAATAAAAAAGTATAGCTGACCTGAGCTAGAGAAACAAAAAAACATTTATTTCCTAAATTTGGAAAGTGCTGGCTGCTTTCTTTTTTTTTTTTTCCAGGAACCTCCCGACAGAATTTTCCCATGCATAGCAATGCCATGTTGAAATGCATGCTGAAACAACGGCCCCAGTGGCTTTCCTAAACGAACCTTCTTTTTGCACTTGGCCAGTGTGCTCACAGGCCAAGCTCGAAAAGAAAAACCAAAAGCACTGGCCTAGGAAAAGACATCATTCTGCAGTTACATCCAGCAGCAGAAGCAGGTTTGAAACTCACGAAACTTGAACTGAGCTTCAGTTTTAGATTGTCTGCAGCTCAGAAGCAAGTCAGAGGCAGAAGCCTGGCAGTCTCATTGCCATGCCTATCGAGCAATGGCAGCCCCCTTGCCTAGTTAACAGCGGTAATTTTTTGGTGGTGCAAATGTGCATGTTGGACTTTGTAGACGTATTTTCATTTTCTAAAAGTAGATCAAAATGTTCAAGACTGCGTTGGCTGCACGGCATTAAATATCTGAACCTTGAATCGCACGGTCAAACTTTGTTGAGGCATAACGGCAGAAGAAGTGTTCATTGTAGAAAGCATATTTATACATCGACTCCTATGGACTGCTAATAGGGCACTGAAAAATTTTCGTTGTAGAGGAAATTTTGTTGAACCGGCATTCATTGTAGCGGGGTTTAAATGTTTACTTAAATAAAACGGTTGCTAATGCCGGTAAAATGGGAGTGGGTTGCACTCCTTCTGGCTGCTCGTGGAAACCTAGAATGTCCTTCAAGAAACCCAGTTTGAGAACCCCATGCTATAAGGAAAGCATGCTCTTGCCTTGTGTCCTTGAGGTGCAGTTGGCGCTCTTTTTCTTCCAAGCTGTTCTTGGCATCGATCAGCTGCTGTGAGTGCTGGGGAGTAGAATAAAAACTTGTTAGGCTTCAGGGCAGTCACGCACAGCTCACAACATTGTAAACAATCCTAATTACCGTATTTACTCGATCATACCACGCCCTCGATTGTAACGCGCACCCGGTTCCCACGACGAAAAAAAAAAGTAAGACATCGATTGCAACGTGCACCCATTTTTTTCGTTGGCCCACACGATCACACCACTCAGAAAAAAGACTCCTTTTGGGAGCGTCTTCCATTTAAATATGAGGTACGGGCGAAGCTTGTGCCGATCAGACGTGTAACAGAGCATTGCCGTCACTGTAGTTTTACCGTGAACCGATGTCAGCACGCAAACTTGCTTCGCCCCCTTCTCGACGGTTGTGGTGCCAGGCATGTCGAAGTAAAGAGGCGTCTGATCGGCATTCCCAATTTGCCCAAGCAGGGAGCCGTTGTTGTGCCGCAAGTTTAGGACGAACCTCTGAAAACTGAAGCTTTTCTTCGCACTCCTCCGGCAACTTTTGGCGTATGCCCGTTAGCCTTCAGAGGGAAAAGCCTTTCCCCTTCATAAAGTTAGTTAACCAGCATCTGCTCACTTTAAACTGGCTCCGCATTAGACCTTTTTCTAAGACTAATTGCATAGCCCGCACTTGGAGCAGTTCTGTCACGGGCCGCTGTGCCGCTCGTTGCTCAAGCACATACTCGCCGAGCAGCTCTTTAATTTGCGGAAACCGACCCTGCTGTGGTCCACTGAAGCCTTTGCGTGAAGCTTTGCTGTCGACAATTTTCTGCTTTTGTTTCCGCCGGTCCCGCACGCACGTTTCGGGAACTCCGAACGACCGCGATGCGGCCCGATTTCCGTCCGTTTCTGCACACGCGATGACTTTTCTTTTAAAAGCGGCATCGTGATGCACTCGAGTTTTCGGAGTTGGCCCTTCCACGCCGTCGACGCTAACGCACTACTAGATGACGAACTCCTCAGCACACGTACGAAGTGCCGCACATGGGAAACACATAGGCAGAAATGGCCGACGCGCCATGCCGACGCACGTCATTCGGTCATTCGACGCACGTCATTCGGTCAATACGGTCATTCTATTGCCGATGGCAATAGAATGACCGTATTCATTTTTTTTTTGGTACTCGATTCTAACGCGCATGAGATTTATGAACTCACTTAACCGGAAAAAGGTGTGCGTTAGATTAGAGTAATTACGGTATCACTATAGTTTGCCACCACAGTTCGAACCACTATCAGCTGCAGTAGCCAACAAGAAGCAGTTCGTGCACTGTTATACTCAACGATATAATTCAGGACCCACACGTCTACTATACACTCTGCACATCCTTTATTCTCAGCACCAGATATCCAACATGAACGACTTCTTTTTTGAACCCAACTCCTTTCCTCACGTATTCCCGTGCACAACCCCTCCCCCCCCCCCCCCCTTTCTGTTCACTCAACACCCACGCCATCTCGTTCTTCCACCGTCAACCACACACTCCCTACTCGATCTCATCTCTCAAAATTCTATCTTCCACCCCCCCCCCCCCCTTCGAATTGCGATTCTGTGGCAGAAAGGAGTATTGGTTCATGGTACAGCACCAACTGATAAGCATGAACAACGGTTCGAGGACGTCCAGTGGCTGCGTGTGTCACTGAGGATGAAGTCAGTTTTGTCACCCTGCTTAATTGCACAATAAGGTCCACCTCGTCGCAGTTCCAACTTGGCTGCAACACCCTTGGCCGCATCACTCAAGGTGAGAGTATCCAAGAGCACAAGGTCATCTTCTTTGATGTTGTTGACCGTCGATGGCAATCATATCTTGACTTTTGAGCCTGCCAAGCAGCTGCTTGGTGCTTGTTAGCATACCTTGAAGAGAATCTCTCCTATGTACACTGACGCAGAAGCATAGCTAATGTCCCAGTTGCACACAGTCGTACCGTGCACGATTAACATCCCCTTTTTGTAGCTAGAGTCATCGCAGCTACACGAGTTCAGGCGAATACAAAACATCTATTGCTACGGTAGCAATAACGTGCGAATGTCGTCTAGAGGGACTTCCGGTCTAGGCAGATAACAAAGGGTAGACGCTTACACCTCGGTCGTTGATGGCCTTTGCTCGCAGGGAGTTCTGGGTTCGTCCTTCCTGTTTGGTCGTCGGTGCCAGAGAGCGTCCGGCCACTGGCACACTTGTTTTTTCCACCATCCTAATTTCCCTCTCTCTCACGAGAATTCATTCCTTCGATGAGGGAGGGGAAACCTATTTTGTAAACCGGGAAAGAAGAATCGCGTGCGCAAGCCGTGAGGTGCTCCATCTTTTGCAAGAGGCTTCAACAAGAGGCTTCATTAACACGTGTCTCGAGAAAACAGACATGTACTCACTCGCAACTAGGCTGTTGTGTTGCCGTAAAAGAGAAAGGCTGGCTGGGTGCATGTGCTCCTCAAGGCTTTTCCAAGGCACTGCCCGAGTTCTGCAGCAAGCACATGGTGTGCCGCTTCTGGAGGCTCCGTGTCCTCCTTGACGCCTGGAGGTTCCCATGGGATGCGCAACTCTCTGCCAGAGCAACGCAATGCTGGAGTATGTCTGGTTGCTATGCTCTCCGACTTGCGCATGGCAAGAGTGATCTCTGGTATGTGATGGTCCCAGTTTTTGTTTTTGGAGCAGTAGGCTCATTGACAGTGTTGACCGTGCCATTGTGATGCTCCACCATCAGTCCAGCCAGCTGGTAAGGTACAGCATGATGATTCTTGATTCCACAGAGTTTGAGAAGATTGCGGCATAATGAGCAAACAAATGGCTTCCCACTGGTTATAGCTAGAGGTGTTCCATGGAGGGAGAAGACCTAGACCATGCACTCCAGTATTTTTGTACTGATGAACTGGAGGCTGCTCGTAGAGGAAATAGCTCTCGAAACTTTGTGAGCTTGCCAATGACCACGAGCAAGTATTTATAGCCACAAGGTGTAGACGGCAAGTGTCTATGTCCCCAATAAGTTCTTTCGAGAGTGCTGTTGCCCACTGACTGCTCATGTTGCACACTGACCTCTTGCGCCGAGCTTTTGTGCGCTGACAGATTGCACATACCTTGATATGTCCACCTGCATGCCCCGCCAGACAAATTTTGCCACCACTCACCTCAAAGTTTTGAAAAATCCTGCTTAGGGTGTCGTGGGGTGGTCATGCACCATTTTCAATGCCCTGTGCCAGAGGTAGGAAGGCAGCCATGGTACCTTTTTATTGCTTCTTTGCTGAACCAGCAGTCCACTTTGCTCCAGTTCTGTTGTTTCTGATAAATCATGAAAAAGACGATCATCAGGGTCTGAATTTGGGAGCATAACCCCCTGGACCACAGTTTTTAGTTTTGAGAAGCAGCTGTCACAAGCCTACTGTTGAACAAGTTGTCCGGTGTCACTTAGGAATGTCATATTGTCCTTCAAGGCAACTGCTAGTTTCTGAAATGTTATTTTCCCTTCAGGTTCTTGTGCAACAATGGAAAACAGTCTCTTGGGCAAGCTGCCATCGGGATGGTCCACATATTGAGAGGGAGTCAACTCAGGGCATCTGCAGGTGTATTCGCCAGCCCCCTGCCTGTGCTTGATCTGCAATTGCAACCCTGCACACGGAGGATTCAACTCGGCAAAGCCTGGTCGGTGCTAAACATCTATGACAAGGATGAGTAGTCACAGTGTATCTCAAAATCTGTAAATTCGAGATACGCCCTGCATTTGTCCACTGCCCATACAACTGCGAGGCATACCCACTCCTGGACAGTATAGTGGCTTTCAGCCACCGTGAGAACCCTGCTAATGAAGCAAACTGGCTGCAGTCCGTCAGGGCAGCCTGAAGTAGCAGAGCGGCAATGCCAATGCCACTTGTATCTGTTTCGCCTACAAAGGGTCAATTTAGATCTGGAAGATTTATAACTGCATTCTGGGCTAAGAACAGCCTGAGCAAAGTGAAAGCTTGCTCTTGGTCCTCTTCCCACAACTATGCCTTATTCTTCTTGAGAAGGACAGTGAGTGAATGTACTGCCAGTGAGATGTGTGGTATAAAGCTGCGATAATAACCAGCAAGTCCCAGGAAAGCCTGCAACTGTTTGATCGTGATAGGTCTTGAATAATCCAGCACTGTCCGCTCTTTCTTTTCATCTGGTCTGCCCTGCCCAGAGGAGATGACGTGGCCCGAAAACTTAAGAAACTGACAACAGACCTGCATTTTATCAAGGTTAATCGCAAGGCCAGCCTTCTCAATGCCCCGCAGCCCTTCCCTTACATGTTTACCATGGCTCTCGACACTTTCGGATTAGACAAGGACATCATCCAGAGTTGCCATGACGAAGCTATAATGTATTCCTTGCAACAGCCAGTCCATCAAAGTTTGAAAAGTTGCCGGACCACCCGCCACACTATAAGCGATTCTTGTAAACTCAAATGTGCCCTGATGGCAGATAAAGGCTGTTTTCGCTATATCAGCCTCTCACACAGGGCTCTGAAAAATCCCTGGGAGAGGTCGAAGTTTGAGAACGATGTGGCATGGCCCAATCGCATTAGCAGCCAGTCCATTGGAGGCATTGGGTAGACAGGTGCTCGGATACATGCATTCAACGGCCAGTAGTCCACAGCAAGCCTCAGACTTCTTAGCAGCAAGCCCTGGTGCACTAGTGCAAGGGCTGGTGCCAGATCTTATTAGGCCCTGCAAGAGCAGGGCCTAATATTTTCAAGTTGCATAATATTTGCCAAGTTGCATTTTCTGGGCCGTAGCTGATGACGAAAACGTCAGTGGAAACAGAGAAGCTGACGCTACAGCAGCACGTAATGATGAGTGTGTCATGACAGCACTGAGGCACCATATGACTTCCGGATTAATGACCTCTTTGTCACACTGAAACAAATCTTCTGCTATACTTGGAAGCTGGAAGACTCTAGGCAGGTGAAAGCTACACAGATCCTGGTGTCACTGGCCCTGTCTAGGTCACACTGGCGACCGACCGTCCACTTGCGAGCGGCGTAAAAAAT